AAATAAAAACGAAAATAAAAACGAAAATAAAAACGAAAATAAAAACGAAAATAAAAACGAAAATAAAAACGAAAATAAAAAATAAAAGAACACAATTGCCAAAAATAGTTAAGTTAAAAAAAAAAAAAAAAACAAGTAACTGTGTTCAATTTTTTTATTATAGAAAAACACAACATAAATCACTCAAGGTAATATAGAATAATTTTTAAATAAATACACCGAGAGAGGTGTTTAAGGAAAAATTAAATATATAACAGAAGTGTATAAAATATAATAATAAAAACAAAAATTAAGCTTTATATATATTTTTTATTTGTACTGAACAGATATACATATATATATATAATAATGCACTTATCTTTTATATACATAATTAGGAAAACGCTGTTTATATATTTTTAGATGTAAATTTAAATTGTAAAATTTTACTTGTTTTTAGGTTTATGGTTTAGGGTTTCAGGGGTGTAGAGCTCAGATTTTTTTAGGTTCACGGGTTCAGTGATTTTATACCACGTTTTCGTTCACGCCTTGAATGATAATAAAACACACTGCATTAAAGCATACAACCTTTACAAAAAAAAAAAAAATTATTAATAAGGAGATCCATACCCCGTAATTATTTATTAAAAAAAAATATTAAATGAAAAAAGGGGAATTATTTGCGAAAGAATTACAAAAGAAGGGTTATCATGTATGGTATATATATAAAAGGAATTAATATAATAAAGAGAAAAGTAGTGCATGGGGAAAAATGGAGGGTGAAATTAATCTATATTATAAGTTAATGAAATGATGGATCCAATTTTTTTTTTATTTTATTTCCAATTTTTCATTATATATGTCTTATTCGTGAAAAAAAAAAAAAAATACAACACTCACAAAAATTAGGGCTCGTATATATGGTGGAAAATCATAAGGGGTAGGTAAAAAAAAAATTTATAATTTTGCACAAATTTAAATCGTAATTATATGAGGTAATTGTAAAATGTTTTAATGAAATATGTACCAATCGTTCATAATATTTTTAATTTAGAAATAATAGGTTTCCTATAAGCGTAAAACACGTTTATACATATATATATATCATTATATAATATGTTCCGTATAATCACAAGTATAATTATGCGTGGTAAGGATATTGCACACCACAAGGAATTGTACATATATTATATTATAATTAATCAGAAAGAATAAATTAATTCCTATAAAAATAAGAGTTCCATTTTCTTTTTTTTTGTTTTGCGTCGTTGATAGGTTTTCGCATAAAAAAGGAGACATATTTAGCACACCACTAAACCGCTACACCGCTACACCGCTACACCGCTACACCGTGAATATATATGTGTAGAATAATTGAAAAATATATGTCCATATAATACAGGACAAATAAATTTCTTCAATTCGGGGGAGGGAACTGAGGTTCCTTTTCTTCTCCCCTCTTTGTTCCAATTGTCCATGAATATATATATTTAAAAAAATTTTTTTTTTTGTTCTGTTTTGGTCAAAAGAGGAAAAACATTTACACAAGACGTACATTATAATTATTACAACACATCTGTACTTACGCAACCGGCAATATTTATGCATATTGTATAGTACATGGAATACCCTTCGGCTTTAAGCATCTTAAACATAATTAAAAATAAGTCTGTGCATGCTATATATCACCTTTGAAGGTATTTAACATGTATGTATGTATGTAAATATATGTGCATCACGTAACATCACGTAACATCACGTAACATCACGTAACATGACGTAACATCACGTAATTGTAAGGCAAACCCTTGCTCCATTCTTAAAATCATTAAAAATATTTAGAAACGGTAAAAATTGACTTGTCCTTTCCGCTCTCTTAAACACATATCAATCTTTCTTCCTTCAATTTAATAATATACATAGTATATTTCTTTAAATGAAGAAATATGCTTTATTTAGAATTTTTTCTTAAAAGTAAGGGAAACTTGTTAGGAGCTTGGATGATGGGTTTGACTTGTAATTCTAAAATAAGTTCGCTTCCATCACAAGGAACATACGACAGGTATATTTCGCTTCTAAAACATTTTTTACTCAAAAAGGGCCATACACATTCTCGTGTCTGCTGTCTTAATGGTAGCTTCTTGTTCCCAAGAATCTCCTATTTCCATTTGAGATCTTTTTTCATTCATCTCTGCTCAATTTTTTACTTCGCCAGGATGGTATAAAAAAAAATACTTCACTAGCATGTTCGTTTTGTACTGTCAAGTTATTATTAATTATATCTTCACATTTATTCGATTCCTTGTTATATATTTGGAATGTTCTACTATTTTTTTTTTTTTTTTTTTTTTTTATAATTAATATTTACATTAACATTAATCATTAGTGAAGCCATATTTTTGCAAAATGTGTACAATTAAAAAAGGTTGAAAAATTAGACAATTTTTTTTTATATTAATTTGAGTTCATATATTTATTTTATATATTTATTTCATATTGTTACTTCATTAACAAGTTTATTCTTGTGCTTCCTCGTCGACTGGGGTTGGTGGTACTTCTTCTTCTCCTTCTTGTTGCTCTCCTTCTTCTTGTTGTTGTCCTTCTTCTTGTTGTTGTTCTTCTTCAACGTCTTCTACTTGTTGCTCTTCTTCTTGTCTTTCTTCTTCTCTTTCTTCTCTTTCTTTTCTTTCTTCTTCTGTTGTTATAGTTGTTGTTATAGTTGTTGTTGTTGTTGTAGTAGTTGCTGCTGTCGTGGTTCAACTCTGTGTTCCTCTTTAATATATTCATTACACACTGAATTTAACATGTCAACTTTTCCTTTTTTCCACTCATCAAATTGTTCCCAGTGTCTTTTTAAACATTCGTCTTGTTTATGGAGAAACCATTTCATGAGTTGCTTTCTCTCTTCCTCCATGTATTGATCTTGCTGGTACCATATTTTAGTCTGGGCCATATTTAACAGTTCTGTTGCTGGCATGAGTCCAAGCGAGTTAGAAACAGTAACCTTTTCGTTGTTGTTCCAGTGATACAATAACCATCCTTTCATATTATTGTCTTCAAATTGCATCATATATTTAGCGAGAATGCTAAATAAGCCGCAACGAGTCTCTGTCAACCATTTGTTCAATTGTGTTTTAATATCAGCTTTTAATGCTGCTTTAGATGATTGGTCATTGCTATTTTCATGTGAACTTCTCAGGTATCCTGTGCTCCCTTCTTCTGTTGAATCTCTCGTTTGTTGTACCAACATATGTTTAATACCTTGTATCCAGTTATTCCATTCTGCCTCCTTCTGTCCCATGAAGGTTGCTCTTTCATTATTTAATTTGCTTTCCAATTTCACCCAATCCTTTCCTAAGCTTTGTAGGTATGTACCCCAATCTGCACATCTTGAATCTCCATTTGCGTGATCATGCGATTTGAATAAATTACTCACTGGAGATCCCTTCTCTTCAGGATCTTTTTTTGGAATCAATCGGCATTGTATGTCCACAATAGGAATAACTCCGGCCTTCAAATCGTCTTTCAATAGTTCCTTTAATGACATACCTTCATTTTCATGTGGTTCATATACTAGTTCAAACTCAAACCCTTTATATGCATTTACCTGCTGTTTTTCTTCCGCATTATCACCATAAAAGTAATCTCCTCGCAGACCGATCTCCCCTTTTTCATATCCTCCTTGAGCAGCTTTCTTTTCTTGCTGCTTATAGGTATATCCTCCTTGAACAGCTTGCTTTTGTTGGTGCTTATCAGGAGATATTCCTTGAACACCTTGCTGGTCATACTCCTCATTAGAATATCCTCCTTCAACACCTTGCTGTTCATATTCTTCATCAGAATATCCTCCTTCAACAGCCTGCTCTTCATATTCCTCATCAGAATAACCTCCTTCTGGCATCTCTTCCTGTGCTTCCACAAATTCTTCTCCTTCAACAGCTTGCTCGTCATATTCCTCATCAGAATAACCTCCTTCTGGCACCTCGTCCCGTCCTTCAACAGCCTGCTCTTCATATTCCTCATCAGAATAACCTCCTTCTGGCATCTCTTCCTGTGCTTCTACAAATTCTTCTCCTTCCACCTCCTCATCATCACCTACGTATTCCCGTGATTCTTCATACACTTCTTGTTCAGCATCTTCATCATTTTCGTATTCCACCTCCTCTAATTCACCCTCATCTTCTGATTGAGATTCGGTTTCCTTTGCTAAACTTCTAATAACTCTGTTAGGTACTTGCACTTTGGCCAACTGCTCTCCTCCCTGTCCTTGTAAGTCATCTTGGTGCTATAGCGGCAAGGAAGTATGGTGATGCGTTGAATTAATAAAAAGGTATAAAAGGGAAAGGGCAATATAGCACATAGCAGGGGAGGCAATAAATATGCATACGGTAATATATATATATATACACTATACGTACATGGCATATATATATAGCCACTCGTACAAATTTGCACTCTACATACATGCATATATCAGCATGCCTCTTTCTTTTTCAGTGAGCTTACCTTTAAAAAGATATACGCAGAAACAATGAAAAGGATAGCCATTCTCTTGGAGAAGAAGGACCTGGGTGCGGATTCTACTTTGCCATTGCGGGATGGCGACGCTCCTTGTACGACGCCGCTGGACGATGTTGTTTTGTTCGAATTTGCCATGTTGTTATTTGATGCGTATGTTTAAGAAATAATACGAGGCTCGTACGAGTTCTCTCTCGTTTTTGTAAGTATATAAAATAATACTCTTCGCGCGATGTGTATAGGAGATAATTTATATATTTCTTATTCCTATATGAAAATTATAGCTTCTATAAAAAACAAAGGAAAAGGAATTAAAA